ACAGTGACCTGACCAAGCTCAGAGATAAGATCTCTGGAATCTTGGTTCCGAGCACGGCTCAGAGTCAAACAGGAACAATAAAGGAGACGCAAAGGAAATGTAGTTTCTCCAAATGGTGTAGAGTTCAAGCAATCACAGTAAAGGTAACTCCAAATAACACACATTCACAACATACCCGGAGCTATATCACACTGTAAGAACATGATTCAGAAAGAACCTGTCTGGCTTCTGTACACTAACTGCCCTTCTGTCTAGTAGAGGTAATGAGGCCAGGTTCTTCAAGGAAGTCACCTGCTAGACAAGAACTCTGGGGAAGTTCAATTTTTCTGACTTATTGGAGATTTTAAGTTGTCTTGTCAATCACTTCTTTTGCATACCTACATCCAGGCAACAGAATGTGCAATCAGCGCTTCTGAAATAGGACCCAAATCCTCAGCTTATTCATAGCTCAGCTGGCATTCCTATTTCCACTTCCCAAGGGAAAGTTCATGCATACCTTTAATTCCTACAGATTTCCAACATCCACTCCCGTCTTGGCTCTTCAGGAAAGTAATGTACAAAATCTCACTTACCCAATACCAACTTTAGCAACCTATCTGCCTTTATCCCTATGCAGTTCAGAATCTAAGCATCTCTAGGTTACAGACTTTTGTCTTTAGTCACTGCTTTACCTCTAGTACTTAAACAATACCCTGTTCACAGGCACATAAGTATTTGAATCAAGTGGAGAAAAACACTGTTGCATCAAAGCTTGAGCTGTCAATACAGTAGTTCCTGTCACTACTCCAATCCTTTTCTGCTCACAACTCTTTAAAGTCCTTCATCCCCCAAACTTGCAGCTTATTACACTAAACAATCTAATAGTTCATTCTCTGTGTTCATTTGAATAGTACCTGAATGAGCTGTTGACTCCTTTTCTCAAAACACTTGTATTTCTAATGTACCACTCTTTGGTTATCTTAGGGCTCTTAGAAGGCTGCTTGCTGGTTCCTATTTCAGATGTCTGAATACCTCATGGCCAACTCAGTCCTCTTCTGTAACTTCTTGGTTGCTACTCAAAATGTCAATTCCTGGACAACGCAGCAGCATCAAAGGGACTTGGAAACATAGACTCTCGGGCCCCACAGGCGACCTACTGAATCACTTTGCATATTAACAAATGGCGATGAGCATACATATAGAAATCTGAGAAACACTGATTCAATCATGACTCCAAACTACATTCATAAACTGACTCTCCAAATGTTTATCTCTTATCCCCTCCCACAACTTATCCTAAACAGGGCTCCATGGATTCCTCTAGAAATCAGAGAAATATTTCAAACCCAAGTACATAAATGAACTCTTCATCTCCCCTCCCCCACCTTCAGACAAAAAACCCAAGAGTCACCCTTTGCTTTCCAATCCCGAGGTCAAAGTCCTGTTAGCTGTGTCTTTAAAACAGAGGTTTACCATTGGACAGCATTTCTAGAGCTAACACCCTAATCTAAACCACCATTTGAGAGGCAAATATTTCCGAGTTTTCTAAATTTCCCTACTTCCACAGAATGCTGCCTACAACTCTGTGCACAGTAGCCAGAGTGATCTTTAAATATGAATCAGACCATGGCTCAAAGTCCTCCAATGATTCCCAAACTTTCCACCATGGTTTCCAAAAGTCTTCGTTTTCTAGCTCTTTCCACAGCACTCGAATGCTTTGCTTTAAGCCTGTTCTACTCTTGCAAAGTTTTGACCTCTTCACTTATTTCTATTGTACCTTCTGATTACTTCTTTAATCGCTACATTTATTTTGTCTTTTTGAAGCAGGGTCTCCCTGTAGCCCCAGCTGTCCTGGAACTCACTATGTAGACCAGGCTGGCCTTGAACTCACAGGGATCCACCTGCCTCTGCCTCCCAAGCACTGGGACTACAGGAGTGTGACACCATGCCCGGCTCTTAATCTCTACATTTAATACTCACCCTCTCGTTTTTCCATGTTTTCTCAGCTTTCATTTAACCATTTGAACAGTTACCTGATGTTATACACACCTGACTCTTGCTACAATGTGTGGTCCCTCATACAACAGGGTAAAGCAGTGCCTGAGGAATGGAAACAACACTCCAACGAGTATTGGTGGTGGGACTGCTGAAAGCAGAAACTTTTTTTGCCCTTGCCAAGGAGCGCTATCCTGGGCGGTTCAAGATGAAGTCTTTTTCTGCAGGGGAGGATGAAAAGAGCAGGCATGGGAAGGAGGCTCCTCCTGGGCTATCCAGACAAATGTCAAAGGATCATTAAGAACATCGCACCAGGCATGGGTCGCACACCCCTTTAATCCCAGCACTTGGGAGGCATTGGCAGGTGGATCTTTGTGAGTTCGAGATAGCCTGGTCTATATAGCAAGTTCCAGGCCAGTTGGGGCTACAGGGAGACCCTGTCTCAAAAAGACAAAAATAAATGGCTGGAGAGATGGCTCAGCAGTTAAGAATACCAATTGTTCTTGCAGAAGACCCGGGTTTGAATCCCAACACCCACATGACAGCAAACAACTGTAACTCCAGTCCCAGGTGATCCGACAGCCTCTTCTGACCTCCTCGGGCATTCCACGACATGGGTATACTTACATGCAGGCAATACATGCATACCCATAAAATAAAAATAATAAAATATTTTTTAAAAAAGAGCAGAGGATAAACTCTCATGTACTTATGCATGCTTCCAAGTTACAATAGCTGAATGTTGACAATTCTCCCAGTTCTCAATAGGCTGGAAATTTCAAAATGGGACAATGGTTCCAAAACTTTTCTATAGATCAGAATGGATATCTTTAAAAATTCTAATGCTTAAGTCACATTCCAAATGAATTATATATTACAATTGCTAGGGTTGGAACACAGGTGTCAATGTTTTTGAACTTGCTGAGATAATTCCAATGTGAGGTAAATTTGGAAATCAATGGCATGAACTGTGATATAATATAAAAGATTTATCTCCATCATAATGCTATGCAAGTTTAAAGGTTCTATTCCCCACATGGTATAGAAAACAAGTTAACTCATAAAAATATGCTGTTTCAAACAGCAGATCTGAAAGCACATTTCCCAGGATTTTCAAAGTTTGTCTGTCAAAATCTAATGCAAACTTGAATATTTCACTAGGACATTTACTTTTTTTCTCTCATATGTTGAGGCAAATTTATGAATGAAAAAATGGTGACTTCTACATAGGTGACATTTAAAGTCTCATACTTCTTATTTTTCTTTTTTCATTTTTAGTTTTTGGTCTTTTTGAGACAGGGTTTCCCTGCAGCCCCAGCTGGCCTGACACTCACTGTGCAGACTAGGCTGGCCTGGATCTCACAGATCCTGCATCTGCCTCTCAAGTGCTGGGATTAAAAGCATAGGCCACCACACCTGGATCCTGATTGTTTTTAATGGTCTCAGTTAAACAGCTATCCTCTGGTAATAATGCTATCCATGGTCACTGAAACAAAATGCTGTATTCTCAAGAGGGAAAGGGTTTCTTTGCAACTTAACAATGTTACAATAACATAAATTCTTAATCATGTTGTTCAATATTTCTTGCTTAAGTATAACCAAGTGGCTGTCTTAATTAAAATTGCCTTACAACTGAAATAAAATACTGTGCATTAATTCATCTCTAACCTCACCCTCAGAATCATGGACATTGATGCAGAGGAAATTGAGGGGTAAAGGCAAACAGGTTTTCATTATTAAAATCTTTCACTGCAGTGAAATACTAAGATTTCAAAAGACCCTTGGAGATATTTAATCCAATCCATTTTCCAGGTGAATAATCTGACACTCAGAAAAGGTGAAATGACGTGCCTAAAAGTCACACAGAGAGCTTGAAGAGAAAAAAAAAAATCTTTTTTTTTCCAAACAAGCAGACAGGATTTTTCACGTTAATCAAAAAAGAATCAAGATCATCAGATTAGAAACGAGGAGTAAAAACTATGTTACACATAAGCTTAGGACTAGTTGATCTGCTGTCCCCCCCAAAATCAAAAACTGTTCCAAACACATCAAGATGCTCATCCTTAAAATATCAGAATCTTGGAAAATTCAATTTACAAATACATTATTAATTGTATTGTATAATGAAATTAGTTCAATAAACATGAAAACATCAAACAGCACCAATACCAGAAAGTTAAGGTAAATGTACTATTATTTAAAATAATGTATAATCATTCATTGGGACAGAAATGAACTCTAGCTCCCAGCAAAATTATTTAAAACAACTGTTTGACAGAAAAGGCAATATTTAAAAACTAATATATGCCCTTTTCCCATTGATAGACCTGTGGCTAAGCATCCCAGCAGTAGGTCACATGAAAAATATTAAGACACATCTTTAAGTTGTTCCACCTTGAACCATGATACTAAAGAATCCAAATCTAGCCAACTGGGCCAATGACAGCATTTTTGGTATCCTGACTACTCATACAGGTCCCTACTAAAACAAACCAACTCCCTTTCTAAGCACTAGATGAAGTGCATCTAGGCGGAAGCAGCAGCCAGGCATAACAGATGCTGCTGCTGACAGTGTATCAAAACGCTACCAAGGAAAAGACAGCAGCAAATTAATAAGAGCACATTATTCCACATGGAATTCCACACTATTCTTATCTCTAGCTCCTTAAATTTCCAGAAGACTAGAGACTAACAAGTGTGTGAATAAATGGGGCTAAGCAAGTTCAACAAGCTCTAAATAGAACAGTGTTCATATTTTAACCTATCCAAGATAATTTAACACAGAGAAATTCAACAATATGTAAAAATTTTTTAAAGCACACAGAACTAAAATGTTTTCAAAACTTTTGTGTTTACCCCAAAAACAGCGTTGGAACTTGAAGTGGACACAAAATAGGCATGGTTTGGGAAGCAGTTCTAACATTCATACCACTCTCTCCCTGTTCCCTGCTCCTTGCATCAGGTGATCACAAGACTACCTGGTTTAAAATATTTGGTAATTCAGTGCAGAAAATTAAGGTCACAGACAAAGTACAACAACTTTTAATATACCATTAATACTAATGATTAAAAATTATTGCATAGTCTTATGCATTTACCCTAAAACATTTTCTGAAAGTAAACGAATTATATAAAAGACAATAACCCTTTTAAAATATGGATGGCCTTTACTACCTCGATCTTCTCTCTTTTTTTGTCTTTTCAGTACTTTTGTCCATGGTTTTCTCATTATCTCCCCTGCACTTTGGGCAGTACCATTTCCCCTTTGGTTTATAGGTAAGTGAAACACATGAAAAGTGAAACCATTCAATGGGACACTGTTCATTGTCACATCCTATCATTTCCCCATAAGACACTTGGTTACATAAACAGTATGTAGGTTCATTCGGATCTATTGCAAACTCAACAGGTGAGGCTTCCCTTTCCTGCTTGGCCTTTGAGCGTTTCTTTTTCTTAGCTGATTTGGACTTCTTTTCTTTAGGTGGCTGATCATCACAGTCTTCAATTCCATTTGTCATGTGACATAAATCACGGCTTTCACTGGTTCGCTGTCTACGGGGTCTCCTAGAAGATCTTTCTGGCTGACAAGAATCCATCTTTGCTTTGTCTGAGGCTCTTTCACTTTCAACAGGATCTTGGAAACACTGTGAATGTAGCTCCATTTGCCTGGCTCGATTTTCCACCAATTCGAGCATTTGTGTGACAATCTGAATTTTTTCATCTCCCAGTTCCTGGCTATTGATTAACGCTCTCTGGAGATGCTGCTGTAGGCGTTTCTTCTGGTTTGAATCATCTTCTTTCTTGTATTTTTCATAGACATCATCGATTTCCTTTAAAGTTTCTTTAAAAAGGAAAAAAAGGAGAACATTACAATGTATTACTTTCAAATTAGAATTAAGTAAAAGTATGAAACCACCCTCTGTAGCATATACATATATATAAAACATTATTCTCATACAAAATCCACATTGTCCAATATGAAAGTAACTTAGGGGCCAGTGACATGGCTCAGCAGGTAAAGGTACTTGCTACCAAACCTCAAAACCTGACTTTGATCCCTGGGACCCACATGGTAGAAGGAAAGAATCAACTCCTACAAGTTGTGCTCTGACTTCCATACGGGCACACACATGATAAAGGTAATAATTTTTTAAAGTATACTTAGAACTAAACTAATGGAAAGAACATAAAACTGTAATATGAATAATCTATACTAAAAAGGGTAAGGGAGGGCTGGAGAGATGGCTCAGCAGTTAAGAACACTGGTTGTTCTTGCAGAAGACCCAGGTTCAAATCCCAGCACCCACATGGCAGCTGACAACTGTAACTCCAGTCCCAGGGGATCCGACAGCCTCTTCTGACCTCTGTGAACATTGTATGACATGGGTGCACTTACCTACATGCAGGCAATACACGCATACACATTAAAAAGAAGGGGGGGGTAAGAGGGCTGGACATGATGGTGCATGTCTTTAATTCTAGCACTCAGGAGGCAGAGGAAGGTGGATGGTAGATCTCTTGAGTTTGAGGCCAGCCTGTTCTACATAGTGAGTCCAACACTTTGTTCAAAAAATGTGATATGCACAGGCCAGCAAGATAGCTCAGTGACTAAAGGTGCTTGCAGCCAAACCTGATGACCTGAGTTGGAGGATCACAAGTTCAAGGACTGCCTATGCTACACAGTGAGGTCAAGGCTAGGTTGGGTAACTCCAGGCTCCTGTATAAAAAGTAAAAGGCAGCTTGGGAATATACTTCAATAGTAGACTGCTTGCCACACATGTGTGAGACCCTAGGTTCAATGCTCAGCACTGACAAAAAACAAAAAAGATTTTCTCCAAAGCAAATCCATGAGAATGTCATTACTTTTATGTGAAAAAAAACTCAAGAACCTCAGGTTTTGAACTGCAAAATCTGTATGTCTAGTCATCACCATTTTCCATACACTGTATGAAAAACATTTGCTTTTCACACATCAAATTTTAGTTTGGATATAGCTATTTACCTAAGAAATTATGAATGAGAATACTGGGAAAAATATGAAGGTTCTCTAATAGCCACATCCTATAATAAGTATTTCATTCAATTGCTTTTTTTTTTCTTTATTTCGCTATGCAATGGACTCTAATAATTCCTGAAAATGGTGAGGGAGAAATTTTGTTGACTGCCTACATATGTTACCAAACATTGCTGTATTGGATCCTGACACTAGAAAATGCTTAAGAATCAGTGGGGGAAAAAATAAAATCTGAACCAAGAACACAAAAGTATATAAAGTTTACAACAAACATAAAACCATGAAAGTTGAGTTTAGCAACTATATGGGTAGAGTGAAAGATAGATCACTATTTTATATTAATCTTGGAATTGTTCACAATCATAACGGGCCCGATAATTTGTACTGATTGTAAGGTCTACTAGTCATGTTAACAGAGCAATTTATAACAAGCATAGATGATAGATAAGAGTTCCTTGTCAAAAAAGAAAAAGTCACTACCCACCTGAAATAGTCTAATTTTTGTGACTTTAAAGACATGTAGGGCTGGAGAGATGGCTCAGCAGTTAAGAGGACAGTCCTCTTACAGAGGACAAGGGTTCGAATCCCAGCACCCACATGGCAGCTAACAACCATCTGTAACTCCAGTTCCAGGGGATCCAGTGCTACCTTCTGACCTCTGCAAGCATTGCACAACACAGGTGTACTTACACACATGCAGGTAATACACTTATACACATAAAAAGAATATATATATTTTAAAAAATGTAAAAAACATGCAAGCTTTGCAAACATTAGTGTTACCAGAAAAAAAAACACAAATTTCTGACATACAGTTCTTGAGCACATGTCTCATTTGGGGGTTGCCATTCATTTTGTATTCCACGTAGGAAGCATCATACATGCAACAGTGCTTACTTTTTAAAGGGGGGGAGGCATGGGAACAGGATGCAGGGCAGTGGTAAATCCTTTGCCTAACAAGTGTGAACCCTGGGTTCAATCCCTTGGAAAGGGAGGGAATTACATAGTGAGAAAACAGATGTGTTCTTGAAGTAGACAGCTTTGGAATAAAACATTCTCCACATAATTAAGTTACTTAAACTCTATAAGTTTTATCTGCAAAGTGATTTTTACCTCCTATGTTCTGGACCTGAAGCAGACTGGCGTGTTGTAAGCAAACAGTATTATTATTGTCTTCTCCCAAGGGAGGTTAGTCTTAGCACAGATTCAGAAAATAAATTTGTAGATTGAGATACTTAGACACCCTAGCATCCCAAAAAAATGTCACCACGAGGAAGACGACAAGATTAAGTTACAGGATTAGTGACCTGTCTATAAAAACAGAATGGCTCCAAGTCTTTACGGTCCATATGGCTACTTGCACAAGTAACTTAGTCTGGGTCTAAGCTGCTCCCAGACTCAGGGTTGCTAAAGGCAAAGTGTCTCCCCACTTAACTTCTCTTGTCCTAGCCCCACACTCTGTAAGGGTGATTCCCTGTTCTAGTTTAACTACCCCCCAAAATGGTTTTCTCCTCATTTAAATTTGGCGGAGGAACCTAGGGGTGCAGGGACGCCAGGCGGTTGCCCAGTCAACCAACCCACTTCCTCCAGGGGCCCGGAAGTGACACATAGCCCGGAACCTACGGGGAACCAGGGTCAGCGACAGTCCCAGTAGCAGTGTCCCCGCCTTGATTCACTGGGTGGGAGAAACTGGAAACATCTCAGCCCCAATACTGACTCCGCCGCCGCCGCCCCTTCCCCCAACACCCGGCACAGTAAGTCCCCTGCCAGCCATCAGGTGGGTGCGCGCAGGAGGCTCCAGCAGCCCACCAAGGCCCAGGCCCACGGGAGTGCGCGCCCCGCCCATTCTACGTCACACCCGCAGGTCCAGCCCCCAGGCCGGGCCCTCCCCACCATACACACCCCCTCTCCTCCCGGCCTCGCGGAGGACCCCTCCCCGTTTAACCATTTGGGAGGAGCTGAGGACCGGCTGCGGCACCCGTCGGCCGGGAACTTTCCCCGGGGCCAAAGAGGTGCACAGCTAAGCGGGGAGCCGAAGGAAGGGCGGTCTCCCTGGTCGGCCTCCGCCGTCCTCTCGCCCCCCCCCCCCGCACGTTCCAATGCATCTGCTCGAAGAGGGTGGGGGCCCAGCGAGCAGTGGCGAGCAGGCCCGGCTCCTCAAAGCCAGACCGGCCGCCACGCTGCCCGGCCCGGAGCAGGATCGAGTGCCGCACCGGGCCGCCGAGCACCGGAACCAATGCTCGCTTAAAATGGCTGATTCCCCTCCGCGGCAGCTGCAGCCAGCCGCTGGGGCTGCAGCGCGGCTCCCACTCCTAGACCCCTCCGAAGTCCTGGTCGGCTGCAGCAGGCAAACAGAGTGCCGCCACCCGGGCTCCAGCCCCTCCCCCAGGTCCCACACACCACATCCCCTCGGTGCACTCGGGGCAGACTGTCACCGGAGAGAGGGAAAGTGGCACTTGCCCAGGCCCGCGGGCCCCTACCTTGATATTTGTTGTCCAGCTCCCGCAGCACCGACACGTTCCTCTGCATGTCGTGGGGCAGCGACTCCACACACTCCAGGTAGTCCTGCACGTAGCAGGTGAGGAGCCGGCTCCGCTCCCCGGTCAGGAGCGCGGCCGACGAGTACAGTTGCTGCTGCTGCTGCCCTAACATCCTGCCGCCGCTGCTGCTCCTCGCCGCCGCCGCCGCCGCCGCCTCCGCATCCAGCAGCCACACATGCACCAGCCACGACCGCCGCTCCTCAGCTCGGCAGCCGGGCGCCGCGAGGACACGGCAGCCGCTCGAGAGGACACCGCCGAGTCCCCCCGATCTCCACTCCCCCCAAAAGAAGCTCTCACTCCCCGCCCCCGCGGGAACAAACCCAGGGGCGGGGCGAGACCGGGGCTCCCTCCGGCCCCCTCCCTTTCGAGGACTCGAGCAGTGGGGAACCCCGCGGCCCAGCCGACGCCGGGCTCCCGTGAGGTGAGACTTCCTATGCCCCTCGGAGTCCCCAGATGCTACCAGGGCTGCCCGGCCGCTCGGATCCCCATGACAAGCCGTTCGCTGTCCTCTCTTCCCTATCACCCCGGTGCCTGGCGGAGAGTCTCAGTGGACTTGCCCCCGCCCCTCCGCCTGCAGCCACCTCTGCGCCTGCGCATGACTCAGTCCTAATAAGGCCGGGCCCCGCCCCTATCGTCCTACCGAAGGGTTCGCATTCTCCCGCCTTCCCTCCGCCACCCGGGCGATTGGTCTGTCAACTCTTGCCTCGGGGGGGGAGGGTGCAGAGAGCGGCCAAACGGCAGGTTGGGCCCCGCCTCCTCTTAAAGGGGTCTGCCCAGCCCAGCCCGCCCCTTCGTCCAATGTCTGAAGGGGACCTGGCGGCTACGGCTGCTGGTTTCTCCTTTCCGCCCTTCCCATGGGGACGGGAACATTGGGCCAGCTCGCTCGGCCCGGTCTTACCGACCTTCCTTCCATGCCAGCGCGGCCCTCGCGAGCCTCCAAAGGAGCAGCGGGTGGCCACTTTGCTCGGCTACCTGAGTGAAGCCTGCGGGAACTACGTGACCCAGGGTGCAGCGGGCGGGCATGGGGGCATGCGCGGCAAGTTCCCGCCGAGCTTCGGCGCTGCGGACAGGCTGTCTGAGTTGGGCCGGGAGCCGTGGTCTGACTGCAGCCCCCTCTGGCTCTCAGAGCACGGGGGCCCGACCGCTGAAATAGACTGTGCTTCCTCAGCCCTCTGCTCTCTCTACGGTCCAGGCCTCCCAGAGTTAACCGTGGGCTGTCTAGGCGCAGGGGAGCCTTGCAGAGTCTATTTCCCTCCTAGCGAGTCTCGGGAGAAGGATGCAATACTCTCCCAGCAGACAGCCTTAACAGATTGTTCTCAGAGGTGAAACGTTTAAGCATCAGTTGTCAGCGAGGGCTCAGTGGCGTAGTGAGGCGCACCCCAGGACATTACGTGTCCATTCACTCGGGGTTACCCCAGTCTTACCAGTTGGAGCAGTGCGAGGGGGCAGGGCAGACGGTATTAAAGATCTAATCAGCCATCAGGTGTATTGCTTTGCGTATCTGCGAGCAGACGGGTTTACTTTCCTTGTACTGTCTGAAATGCCAGGCGGGGGAGCTAATTTTAAGTACGGACATACTTTTAGAATGCATGATGATCTGTGCTCTTTTGACAGAAATAGCTATTAATAGAACGAACACACACAGAATTTTGATGAAATGCCTGTGTAAACTAATGTGAGAGGTGTCTGAGTTAAAAGAAAATGCTAGAGGATGATAGTTTTCTCGTGTGCTTTGTAGCAGTGATGCACCTGTAAGCGTGACTTCGAGAGCACTCCTGAAAGAGCTATTTTAGAAGTAGCCATTGATGTTCCAAGGGAAATTTAGGTCTTGATCTAGAGGAGATTTTGAATTTCATAAAATAAAACTACAGAATTCAACGTTCTGAGAACAGTGGTATTGTAGGAGGACTGGAAATCATCCTGTGTTAAAATCTCTTGGCACTGGAGGTTTTGATCACCTGAATATTAAGTCAACCCAGGCAGCACACTGTATTTCTGAGAACTTTGGGGAAATTTTATTGTCATTTTTTAAATCCTTCAGATTAAACAGCCACACAGGCTTGTCAAAAACAATTATTGTTATGAATTCAATTTGAGGGGCTGAAGAGAAGGCTCGGCGATAAAGCACTGCCTGCTCTTACAGAGGGCAGGGGTTTGGTCCCCAGCACCCACGTGGCAGCTAATGATCCTCTCAAACTTCATTTCCAGAGGATCTGACTCCCTCTTCTGGCCTTCCGGTGCTCCTCTGGTCTCCCCAGGCATTGCACACACGCATTTACACACATGCAGGCAAAAATAAAAATAAAAATAAATTTAAATTTTTAAACTGGCCAGGCATGGTGTCGCATGCCTTTAATTCCAGCACTTGGGAGTCAGAGGCAGGCTGATCTTGAGGGTTCGAGGCCATCCTGGTCTCCATAGTGAAGCCAGGTCAGCTGTGGCTATCCAGAAAGATGCAAAAAAAAATGTTTAACTGAGTGTCCTAGTTTGTTCTTCATTGCTGTGACAAAATACTCTGACCACTACCAGCTCTGGGAGGAAAGGGTTTATTTAGCTTACATATCCTGGGTGACAGTTCATCCATGAGCCCAAGGTAGGAACTCAGGGCAGGAACCTGGAGGCAGGAGCTGGAGCACAGGCCATGAAGGAATGCTGCTTACTGGCTTGCTCCCCTGGCCCCTGCTCAGCTTGCTCTCTTATCCAACACAGGCCCACCTGCCCAGGGGTGGCACTACCCACAGTGGGCTGGGCCCTCCCACATCACTCAACAATCAAGAAAATGGCCAAAGGCCAATCCAATGGAGGAAATTCCCCAATTGAGGCTCCCTCAACCCAGGTGTGTCAAGTTGACACTAAAGCTATTCAGCACAACTGACCCCTTGTCAACTTGACACACAAACACATCACAATTAAACCGTAAGCTTTCGAATTCTTGTCCCCAAGATATGTTAACATTAATATCACAACATAAGACAGTACAACCTTAAAAACCCCACAGTCCTTAAAAATTCCAAACACTTAAAAGTCCATAGTCTCTTTTAAAAGTCTCAACTGTGGGTGGGTTTCCATAAAATCCAAAACAAAGAAAAAAATTGGGCACACCTAAGCAAAAACATCTGGGATTCACTCACGATCTTTTAGCCTTCGAAGAGTTCTGGCAGCTCCACTTCTCTGACTGCTGTCTATAGCACAAACAGCTCTTCTCACAGACCCAAGCCAGCTCCATTCCATACCTACTGCAGTCCTTGGTGGTTGTCCCAGGTCCTGGCATCTCCAAAAACCTGGGGTCTCCACTAAAACTGAGGCTACACCTTCACCAATGGTTTCTTCTTGCCTCTCCAGGTGCAAAGCCTCAGATTCTCTCCATGACCCTTTCATTCCTGGGGTCTTAACTGCAACTGAAGCTGCACGTTCACCTATGGCCTTTCCTGGCCTCTGCGTGCCAAGCCTCAGCTGCTCTCTGTGACCCCTTCACGCTTTCAACACTAGAACCATGCAGGAGACTCTTACATATTACCAAGTCTTGCTTCCAGCTTGAGATAGAGGCTCGGGTCCCCTCTGTGTGCTGACCCTGAGGAAATACCTCCCAGAAGACTTCACCTCCGTGATGCTGGTCTCTTGTTACTTACAGCTGATTTTTCAGCCCCAGCTAACCAG